TTTTCAGAGGCAGAGCAGAGTAACAGTCCCAGTCGTACTGGAGTTAGCTCTGATCAGGAGGACAGTCGGACAGCAACTATAGGTAACGAATCTCCTTAAGAAAAATTCCCTCCATATAGCTTGTTTGCTACAGCAATATTTGTGTGTGAAAACACACTGTAGATTTGGTGTCGCATTAACAGAATATTTTTTTGTATTTGACCGGTATTTTTTTTAAATCAACGGAAAAAACTGAAGCTCATCTGTCATTTTGTCACCCCTCACTACTGGTTGAGACGTGTCGGATACTTTCAATTTTACACACTTTGTGGAGGTAAATAAAAGAAGCAATACAAAAACATAACTTCTGAATACCATCTCTGACATGGACAGTGAAGTAAATTAATCCTGCTGACTGGGAGCTGACAGCACGATGAAGAGTTATGATGTGTTCTCACCAAACGCGTTTTGAGCAATCAGGCATGTCTGCTTTACATTCAAAGTCTATCTGGAGGCGTATTGAGGGTGTGTCGCAGTGTGCTTCGCTCATCTAGCACTGCACGATTTGAAGCGTTCTGAGCATTTTGAGCATTTGACACACGTCAAGTGCGTACTACGTGTCTAACACTGGAGTTGGAAAATCAGAACCAACAGGTAAAGCGCTCATACTGTAACTTAAGTGGAGATGATTCATTTCATTCTTCTGTCAGTGGTTTTTATCACTGCAGAGAAAAAGTTAGATATGTTCATCTACTTGATTAATATGTGATGGGATCTGAATTGTCTGTTCAGCTTGTTCATTATTAATTAAACCACATAAAAATTAATTGCAAAATTAAAAATTGATGGATAAAAATAAAATATGATGGAATATGTTTGATGTGTTCAGTCAAACAGACAATAAAAGATTCTAGTGCGACCTCTGATATAACTACCTGAAATATTTACTGAAACCTCTTTGAGCCAAATGTGAAATTAGGCTTTTATTGACTCTCACTACATGGGTGGACAGCAAGAATTGTAATGAAGAAAAGGGGAGAGATTTGTAGGGGTTGTAATAATAATTTACAACAGTATATTTCTTTTCTTTGTTAATTTTTTTAAGTTATTGTTTAGAAATGAATACATGAATATTTTAAATCTTGTATCCATCCATCCATCCATCCATGCCCAGACTTCCCTCTCCCCAGCCACTTGGTCCAACTCCTCTGGGAGAATCCCAAGGCATTCCCAGGCCAGCTGAGAAACATAGTTCCTCCAGCATAGCCTGGGTCTCTCCCTTGGTCTCTTTTCAGTGGGACATGCCTGGAACACCTCACCACTGAGGCATCCTAATTAGATGCTCAAGCCACCTCAACTGGCTCCTCAACTGGCATTGACAACCTTGCAGCCCCAGCTCCAACAAGCCACTGTAGAGGCACATAACATGGTCCGCTCAGCCTCAATGTCCTCCACTTCCCCCAGAACATGTTCAAAGCTCTCCTGGAGATGGGAGTTAAAGCTCCGTCTTAATCTGTGACCCAGGGTGTCCTGGTGCCAAGTGCACATATGGACACCCTTATACCGGAACATGGTGTTTGTTATGGACTGTTGACGCTGCCATCTTTAAAGGGCTGGAAATGCCGACTAGTGACGAAGGAAAAACAACACAGCCTTCAGTTTTGTTTGGCCTGAGTGCAGTGCTCACCAGAGCAACCTGGGGCCTTTTATTAGCAGATTGCGCCCACCTGTGTAAATTGTGTAAATCTCCTCCCACAACAGGAAGTCAACAAGAACATCAGCAATAAGATTCAACAATCCCACTTGTTCTTATGTTGACATTTACATTTCTCTTTTTTTTTCCATTTACATTCCAAAAACAAAAGATGCAAATTTGTCCATTCTCATTTTAGTTACAGGCTTTGTTAAAATATCAGCCACCATTTCTGTTGTTGGACAGTAAGAAAGAGTTATTTTTCCATCACTGAATGCTGATCGAATAAAGTGATATCGAATGTCAATGTGTTTGCATCTTTGGCAATAGACCGGACTTTTAGAAAGAGCAATTGCACCTTGATTGTCCTCAAAAATGGTCACAGGTGCATATTCACATCCAAAGTCCATTCCATTCATTAGATTCACAAGATAAATACTTTCCTGTGCTGCAGCAGCCAAATCAATATATTCAGCTTCACATGTAGATAAAGAAACTGTGGATTACTTTTTAGACTTCCAGGAAATAATGGGTCCACAGTTTCAGATAGACTAAAACAGTAACCAGTCATACTTTGACTGTCCTTCTGGTCTCCTGCCCAGTCTGCATCACAGTATGCCACAAATTTAAGATTTAGATCATTTTTCCTGAAGCGTAATTCCTGATTTAGTGTACTTTTCAGATACCTCAATTCATGCTTTGCTGCAACCCAATGTTGTTTTCTTTTGGCTCAGACAAGTATTGAGACAACTTTCTCACAATAAAACTTAAGTCTGGCCTAGTGCTCATCGTTACATAGATCAAACTCCCCACTACTTCACAATACTTTTTATGATCAGAGGTTGACCTTCACTATCAAACTTCAGTTTATTTTCACATGGGGTTGATCTTGGTTTGCAGTAGTCATGTCAAACCTCTCCAAGATTTTCATGATGTATCTTTTCTGGTTCATTTTTACTTGACCATGGTTCTGTGTCAAATAATTTCCTAGAAAATATTTAAGTTTTCCAAGGTCTTTAATTTTAAACTTAGCAGCCAACATTTTCTTCACACTTTTGAGTATTTGATCATTACTAGCTGCAATAATAAGGTCATCAACCCAAATAATCAAGATCACTCTCTCATGCTCATT